CCTTAATTTTTGATTTTTTTTTTTTTGTTTTTTTTGTCGGCTAATTTTTGTTCTTTTGGAAGAAGATTCTGGCACATGATTTATCAGGAACACACAAAAGTGGCCTCAATTATGCATTGCAAAAAGGAAATGGGCTTTGCCTTCTTTCGAATTGAGTCATCTTTCTACATCACATGTTTGTACACATGCAAAAAAAAAGTATATTCATGGCTAATATTTTGCCATGCATAAAACACACACACACCACACACAGAACGTCTTTGGTTTGGGTAATGTTTTGCCATAATACTTGAAATCGAGTTCTGTGGAAAATTACAAAATATAAGCTGCTATTAAACACATACACAACGTATTTATGTGCACACGTAAAACTGTAACTAGTAGGAATGTAAGAATGCTTAGTTCCAACGAAATAGCCAAATGTTGATGCTAACGCAAGGTCTAACTGTGATTGAGCATCCTACGATATATCGACCGCACAGAGTCACACAAGCATGTGTGACATAGGCACGATACAACACTCCTCTAAAATCATGAAATTCAATATAAATTAAAACCGAAAATGAACTGATTTATTGTTCAGAAGCACAATGTACTTTCAAAAATGACCTCATTTTAATTGTGTAATTTCAATATTGTCCGAGAAACCAATGCAAATTTGGATCGTCCATATTTTTGGCACTGTGCTCAAAATCAGTCCGCCATTTTTTTTCTTCTTTCCTCACTGCTGAACATCTCTGTCCCATGAACCCAAAAACCTGTAGGATGATTAAATAATTTAGTTGTTTGTTTGATTAATGGGTATTTATTAGGAAAACTAATGAAAAGGAATTGAAAACTTTAAGTTTTAACGAAAATGATAAAATAAAGGATAAAGTGAATAATTCGATGATTGACTTTTTAGTGTAAAAATATGGATTTTCATCAAAATAAACCGGACCTGGTGTTTTTCATTAAAGTTCCCTATTTATTTTCCAGTTCAATCTCAGTACTCACTATGTCTTGCTTATCAAACTGTTTAATAAAAGACTTTGGATTTCAAAAACCATATTGTGTTAAGCAAGGTATAAAATATCAATAATATCAGAAATATCGGTAGTCCAAAAACACGGAAATTTCGATGGAAATATCGGGATATTATCAATATCGATAAAAATTGAATAAAAACCACGGAAATTGTAAGAAAAACTTGGAAATTTTTATTGAAACTTTGCAGGATGTTTATTTAGTCAATTATCTATTAGGTTATCACAAAAAATTGGAAGGAAATGCATTGCATGATGAATTTAACTATTTAAGTTGATTATATAGCGAGCTGGCAAACATTATGAATGTAGAAATATGTAGTAATTAATGAAATAAGTTTAAACACACCATAATCATTTATATATAATGAATTAGTACAATATTTTACACTTTATATATTGCATAGTAAGATACATGAGTGACTTAGTACCACATAGAATTCCTACCAAGGTCTAAACCTTGGTGTTAAGAAATGAACGATTCATCATGCGTATCTTACCTTGTTCCCAAAACCGTCAATTTGTTCTATCACCATAGCCACTAAAATCTTCAGTTTAGTTGATCTTTTACTGAGATGACTTAATTTCTGATATAAAAAATCACTAGCTCTACAGTTAAAAATTCATTTTTCCGGTCACAAAAAAATTCTCGTATTCAAAGTCTTCCACTCGCAATATGCTTATACAAAAAGGAAAAAACAAACGAACGGTTCTGTTGTCTCATTGGTTGTCGTTCGCCTAACATTTGCATCAGCTTTCACTGTTTTCAATTTCTTCTCTGCAGATTTTGGCTTTCTCTATTGTTTGTTTCCTTTTGGGATTTCTTCATGAAGCATCCAGTGACCAGAAACAAATTACAAATAAAAGAAAACAATGTACATGTAGAAATTGGAAACCATGGTTGGCCTGATACATAGGTAATTTACATTCTTGCCCCCTAGGGAGGGGCAGGCACAACAACCAAACTCAATAGAACATATGAATAAGCAGTCTGTAATCCTGCAGTCATTAGGCCTTTTAGCCTAGTGATCAGCAATGATCCGAATGAGACTCGTAGAAATCGCTCGGGCACGGTGACATGACCTCTTGCTCTAGCAACTGCAACACCTGGTTCATTGATGGCCGGTCATCAGGGTTTGCATCGGTGCACCTTGCCGCGATTTCAAGAATTGCTTCCACAGTTTCAGCATCTGCATCTTTGCACCTTTTGTCTACTACTTCATGCAACCTGTTTTCTTTCAATTGGGTGTTCATCTGCAGATTAATGAATGTATGTATGAGACAAACCATTGTCTTACATGAAAAATATGAATGCATGTATCTGTCTTCGTAATCTTATGAAGGAAAGGAGCTTACCCAACCAACAACATTTAAGCCTCGTTTTACAAACGTTGGATCAGTAGGTCTTTTTCCGGTAACAAGCTCTAGCAATAGAACTCCGAAGCTATATACATCGGACTTCTGGGTGGCTCTCCCACTCTGCAGATACTCTGCAATAACCAAAAACCAATTGATTAGCATCTCCATATATTTCATATCTCAATATTATCAAGCGGTTGGTTAGTCGTCTCATATTTTGATCAAGCAGGTTTTAACTTCTAGGGCAGGGATAATTAATCCCGCACTCATTTAGTTGTGTGATTATCAGATGCTCTTATTTGGGGGACAGTAACATCACTAAATAGTAAATCTTGGTATGGATGTCCGACATAGGTGACTATATCGAAATCTGTAATGATTGAACCGTGCAATCACCATAATCTAGCTCTACCATATATACTTACAGAAGGAAACAGGGCTATGAAATGCATACAAGACCATAATATGGGAAAACACAAACCTGGAGCCAGATAGCCAAAGGTGCCAGCCACCACTGTTGTAACATGGGCATCCTCATCCACCAAAAGCTTTGCAAGACCAAAGTCAGAGACATGGGGATCCAAGTTTTCATTTAGAAGAATGTTGCTCGATTTTATGTCACGGTGTACTATCTTCGGAGAGCAGTCATGGTGCAGGTATGCTATGCCTCGAGCAGAACCCAGGGCTATTTTTAAACGAGCATTCCAGTTCAAGGGCCGCTCTTCCATCCCTTGCTCTAAAGGAGATAAAGACAATAAGAAAAAAAAAAAAGAAGAAAAAAAGAGAATCAAATAATCATTCACATCCATCTAGCTAGTCTGTCCCCAAAAAAGCATTCAGTTATAGCACATTCTGAGTGGTGATACTTACCATGTAAGAAATCATCTAAACTGCCCATAGCTAGATAATCATATATGAGAAGCTTTGAAACAGGGAGCCTGCAGTAGCCTCGCAGGTTAACTAGATTTATGTGCTTAATACTACCCAAGATCTCTAACTCCCTCTCAAAAACTTGATCACATCCTTCCCGACTTCTATCAATCCTTTTAACAGCAAAAGTACCACAATCATTCATAACCATTCTGTATACGGTGCCAAATCCTCCCGATCCTACAACATCCTCTTCCTCGAGTGACTCTAGCTTTTCAATGATTTCACTTGAAGGGTAGGGCATATCACCATGGAAAGTAATGAGTTTCGTACCTGTCAAATGTTCAAATTTTTGTCATCAACCATAATAAAGTTTGAGTTTATAACTGTATGAAGTCCAGAAAACATAGAGCTTACTTGCTTCTTGATTTACTTGCTTTTTAACTTCAGTGTATTTTTTTGTCACTCTTTCCTTTTTTGATGGTAACCGAACCCAAAGGAAGGTAAGGAGAATTAAAAACGCAAAGCCCAATGCAGACATTGCACCAATGAGAACTCCTTTGATATAATGAGAAGATCGTTTAGAAGGCACTGGAATATCCACAGTGAATGCAACAAATTAGCATAAGCAGATTGCTGCTTTTTACATAAGAACTTGGTTAAATGTGAGTTACAAAGTTACAGAACTGCATTTTATAAAACTTGTCATTCGCCTATAAGCTGATGAAAAGGGATCGAGAACTTGCCTGCTGCTTCATCACTCGCAGCAGTATGTGGTAGCACTGCAGGAAATCCCAGTGAGGTCCGACAGGGCTTGCGCACTTGTTGGCCACAAAGATCTAGATTGCCAATAAACCTATGAATGTTCAATGAAATTTCAGAACAAGACACATTACACAAATGGTTAACACGGGAAGAAGAGAGAATGTATTGACAGTTCTATCTGTACTGCATCTAGTGCACAATTGGTGCCATGTAATTACTGAAAAGTTAGTGGAAACATCTTTATTTGTGAATTAGTTTATCGACAAATTGAAAACTTTACAGCCAAATTGGTCTTTGAGTGCACGTGCCACACACAAACAAGACTCGGTCTCTTGGGAAACAAGAGTGAGTGTGTTCAATTTGATTAGGCCATTTTCAATCAACATGCATGTGTCGACAGAGACAGACAATTTTGGAACAAATGATGTGATGAGGGTATGAGTACTTACGAATTGTTACCAAAAGTGCTTAGAACTCCAACGTCTGGGATTTCACCGCTGAAGAAGTTGGTGGACAAGTTCCTATGACATATAGAGGCAATTATACTATTGAGACACCAATCCAATTAAAAAACTGTGACATAGAATACCATTTGGTACTTAGTTATAATTAGAGCTTACAAAGAGTGTAATTTTGAGAGGCGGCCGATAGATGAAGGTATAGCACCTTTTAATAAATTGCTTGATAAATCCCTAAAATTTCATTGGAAAGTTCATCAAAACATGAGTAGATATTAAAATCAGTCAGTTGCAATTACTATGATGATAATTCGGAAACCAATTTCCCAAAACAAGCGTTAGATAATTAAGCGCCCTATAGACTCCTTAATGGAAAATATAACAACAACAACAACAACGCCTTTTCCACTAAGTGGGGTCGGCTATATGAATCCTAGAATGCCATTGCGCTCGGTTCTGTGTCATGTCCAACGGAAAATATAAGAACAAAGAAAAAAAATGCTTACAGTATGGTGAGATAAGAAAGGTTTCCGATATCTGATGGAATACCACCTTGGAGATAGTTAGCCCTCAAGTACCTAACAGATAGAAGACAAAGTATGCAATGCTCAATTCTAGAGTCACATAACATAAGTAGATGGCAAGGTGACAACTGAAATATATTTTACAACTCAAAGAAGAAACAGAAAAGAGCAAAATCGCTTCGGGTTTCCACTTACAGAGCCCTAAGCTCAGCACAATTGGTAATTTCATTAGGAATGTTTCCATGTAAGCTGTTTTGGTGAAGTGCCCTGGTTCACATTGAAAAAGCACAATCACAAGAAAATCAAATTTGGAGGACCTCTCAGCTGAGTTTTTACTAGTTCAGTATTGGACTCACAATCTTTGTAATCTGCTGAGTTTACCAATGCTGGGAGATATGGTGCCTCCTAGTTGCATGTAAGGCAAGTTACTGCAAAACCCAATTCAAAATATATGAAAAGCACTTTAAAAATAAGCAGATTAAATCAAAAGCAGTTTGAGGAAATTGAAAAATAGGGTTTGAAATTTTGACTTACATAGAGATGACTCTAAGGTCCTGAGGATGGCAAGTAATGCCAGTCCATTTACAGGGTGATTCATCAGAATCCTGCCAGTCAATGAGAACATTTCTGCTGTCATTCAAAGTGCTTTTGATTTCCAACAATGCCAAACCTGAAGCAAAATTATTACCAAAAAAATATTAAGAACAAGATTAAATAAAACCTAAATATAATATTAAGGAAATGCAGAAAGAATGTAAGTTAGCCATTAAAAATTTGATATATATATGTCATTAATGACCAAAGAAAATCGTAAACAAGGAAATTCAACTAATTGACTAGGTAAGCAAATTTCTATCATAAACAAAGAAAGGATGAAAACTTTAACCCAATGCCTCCATTTTTCATCAACAAAAAGTTCAGAAAAGCCAAAAAATTAAAGATATTAGACCAGAAAAAATTAGATTAAAAACAATAAAATAAAACAACCAGCAAAACAGAAAAGTGGAAGGTTTTTCTTACCATCTGGGCTGAGAGCAAGAGAGCAATGGGAGGAGAAGATTGCAGCTGAAATTACTGAGAAAACCCAAACCAATAAACCCTTCTTCATCTTCTTGTTTCTGAGCTCAGCCACTTTACTCACTGTACTCAAAGTTCCAGGATTTGAGAAGTAAAGAGAAAGTAGTGGGAGAGTTTCAAAAGTTTCAAACTATGATGGCAACAGTGGGTAGAGTGAGAAGCAAGCTGGGGTTAAAGGTGGGGTACCACCATTACCAATAAACTAATTACATATTTGAAGCACGAAAAGAGAGAGAGAGAGAGAGAGAGAGAGAGAGTGAGATTGCTTTTTTCTATAATTCATGAGCAGAGTGAAGGACAGACTTTCGAAAATGAGTCTGGAAAGTTGTGCAGAAAGAATGGCCGTTGTCCACGAATTCAAAAAATTGAGCATAAGCCTTCACAGCCTCGTCTGCAGATTCACAACCACTCGCTACAGATGGTGGCCACGTATCATGTCTGATCTCCAGACAGCAACTGTATTGAATGCTTCCCAGCAGTTGAACAAAGTTTGCCGTACAGTGGTCAAGACTCATCGCTGCGGTTAGGACAAGCTGACCGTACAGTGGCAACGAGTCTCCTTAACGTTGAAAATCCAACAAGATCCTCTCCGGATCATTATGATGAGGATCCTGAGTTATTATGAATCGTTTCCGTTTATCGTACATTATACGATCAGTTTTTATTAAGTATTTTTTATGTTTATTTTTAAATAACAATATTTAAAATAATTTCTGACCGCACGATATACGATAAACGGATACGATTATTAGATTCTCGAGATCTTCATAAAATGAATCCGACAAGGATCCGGACTCAGTTGAAAATTGCATGAATAAAATTGGATCAAATGGACAGAACTTAATTATATTTATTTTGCCTCTAAAATTATGGTGTTCTTTCACTTTGGTCCTTAAATCCTTCTTCCATTCCATCCCTAAGAGCAACTCCACCCATGGAGCCTTTCCCCCTGGCAATCCACTATTGAATCCACCATTTTGAACAATAACTGCCTTTAATGAATAGTAACTATCATTAATGAACAGTAATTGTCATTTGCATCTCCACCCTTGGAGCCCTCCTCCCTGGCAATAGGCAATAAAATATTAGTTTTTTTTTTTTGTTTAAATAATACAAAATAAAATTATTTGTAATTTCGGATAAGATTTTTTAAATCGTTCTCGTTGCGCTACGTGTCATTTTATAAAAAAAACAATTATTTAGCGATTGATTTCGATAAGATTTTTATCCAATGTCATCGTGCCACGTGTCGTTATCTTTTGAGAATCTTTGACGATAGATTTTGATCAGATTTTAACTCGTTCAAAATTCCGCCACGTGTCATTATCTGAAAAGATAATTATTGGAGATCGATTTCGATAAGATTTTTATCCAATACGATCGTGTCACGTGTCATTATCTTTTCAGAATCTTTGAGGATAGATTTCGATCAGATTTTTAACGAATGACGGCATGCCACGTGGCCTTATCTACAATCCAATCCTTTCTGAATCGTCCATATAATCCACCATCCATCCTCACAAATCTCACACCAATTTTCTCAACATATCTATTTCATTATTCATAGTTTCTGCTTCTTCTTCACCATCCATCATTACAATGTCTTCTTCTTCATCAAGGATGATGTGGGAAATCGATCAGCAAGAGGAAGAATTGTTTAACCAATCTGAAGGAATGTTCAACCTTCAGATTGCCGAAAATGAGATGGAAGAGGATGAGGAGCGTAGAAGGAGAGATGACGAAACAAGAATGGCCAGAGCCTCACATTCTCGTCGAGTCATCCAGACTGTTGCTCAGATATGTTGGCCCAACCGTTCAAGAAACCTTGATAGAAGCAGGCAACGACGGGGTGAAGAGCTGTTGGACGATTACTTTGTCCATAATAGTGCATTTCCTGATACGTACTTCAGAAGCCGTTTTAGAATGGAACGACATTTGTTCAACAGAATCATGACTGATGTTTGCAACCATGATTCTTACTTTGTGCAAAAGACGGATGCTTGTGGTGTTATGGGTCTCTTGCCTGAGTAAAAAATCACTGCTGCGTTGCGGATGCTTGCGTATGGAGCATCTGCAAACCAAGTGGATGAGATAACGAGGATGGGGAAATCAACCATTCTTGAGGCCCTGATGAGGTTTTGCGGAGCAGTCGAATCTTTGTACACCGCAGAGTACCTCCGAAAACCTACTTGCAGGGACTTGCAAAGGCTTCTGAAGAAGGGCGAGATGCGAGGTTTTCCTGGGATGATAGGAAGCATCGATTGTATGCACTGGACGTGGAAAAACTGTCCAAGTGCATGGCAAGGCGCATATGGGGACAGAAAAGGATCAAAATCTATCATTTTGGAGGCAGTGGCATCTTTTGATACATGGATATGACACGCCTTTTCGGGGTTCCGGGGGCTCAAAATGATCTTAACGTCCTTGCCCAATCCCCAGTGTTCAACGACGTCCTGCAAGGAAAGGCACCAAAAGTCACGTACGTCGTCAACGGACGTAGGTACGACGGGGCATACTACCTAGCTGACGGCATTTACCCACGGTGGGAAACATTTGTCAAAACAGTGCCACGTCCGCGAAGTGCAAAGGAAAAACACTTTGCAAGCTGTCAAGAGGAGTGCAGGAAGGATGTGGAGCGTTGTTTTGGTATCCTTCAAGCTCGTTGGGCGATCGTCAGGGGTGCTGCCAGAATGTTCGATGTAGAGTCACTTCGATCCATCATGATGACGTGCGTCATTCTTCACAACATGATTGTGGAAGATGAGTTTGATTATGATGCGGTTGATGAATATGAGCCAGAGCCAGACACGGTGAACAATTCAAGAACACAAATATATTGTGCACATGATGCCACCGAAGAACCCGTGTCACACGAGCCATTAGAAAGGGATGGACGTTACAATGAAAAGGTCATTCAACGATATACTGCACTTCAAAGGTCATCTATGCATAATGATCGGCAAATTAACTTGATAGAGCACCAGTGGGCATTGAAACAAGCTGAAGATACTTAAGTTTATTTAGTATGTTTGTTTGTATTTGGTGTGTTTATGTAATTTTATTTGGTGTGTTTTTTGTAGTGAGTTTGTTTGTATTTCGTATGTTTATGTAATTTTATTTGGTGTGAATTATTTGGTGTGTTTATGTAATTCCAATTGGTGAGTTTTTTAGTTTTATTTGGTGTGTTTTATAATTTCATTATACGTGAACAATTTGATGAATAAAACTTCTATTATTAGGATAAATATATTACGAAATTAAATACATGTACTCTCACTTTAAATAAAGTACTAACTTCAATAAAATGGAAACAACATAAATAATAAATTACAACCCAAAGTGATTGGAAAACTATGGGGTCCGATTACAAAAGTACCTTATTCCTCACCACTTAACTAATATGTGGTGCTAGGATCATCTTGTCTTGTTGTGCTAGGACCATCTTGTCTTGATCTCACTTCTCTTGCACGCCTCCTTTGCACCACATCCGCTTTCTCCGACTGCCAAAAATATTTAGAATTTGGAGACATCCCTTCTAAACGCGTGTTCATAATGTCACGATCTCGTTGTGCAATTCTTTCTTCTCTAAGCAACTCCCTTTCTTGCCTAAGTAGCTTTTTTTCCCTCTGTTCAGATTGAAATGCTTGTTGAATAGCTGCAGCTTTTACCTCATCTCTAGCCTTGTCAGCTTCATATTTCGCCAATTCCCGCGCCAACGTCAATTCACCTTGACGAGCAAGTTCTTGCATGTACTTTTCATAATCATTCTTGGAAGCACTCCCTTTCCTCTTTGAAGCCTTCTTACCTAGATGCCTAATTGGATAACGGGTCGACCCCGACGCTTGTTCAGGAATGGGCGTTTCAGGCACTTCTTCTCCATCTTCTTCATCAACATGGGAGCCATGATCGGTGTAGAGTGTGGAGGGGTGATGTGTACAAAGGTGTTGTGTAGAGGGATGTTGTTCATGCATACTTCTGGACCAACAGGCACAACTTTGAATTTAGGACAATCTTTCACAATATTCCAACATTCCCACCGGGTGAATGATTTGTTTCTTGATTTGATTTTGGCACCATACCATGTTTGTGCTTGAAGTTGCTACAAATAATAATATTGAGACTATTAGGTAACAAATAAATAATAATAATAATGAAATTAGGTAACAAATAAATAATACAAATAAATAATAATAATGAAATTATTAGGTAACAAATAAATAATACAAACAAATAATAATAATGAAATTAGGTCACAAATAAATAATACAAATAAATAATAATAATGAAATTATTAGGTAACAAATAAATAATACAAACAAATAATAATAATGAAATTAGGTCACAAATAAATAATGCAAACAAATAATAATAATAATGAAATTAGGTAACAAATAAATAATACAAACAAATAATCTTACCTCATCCGCATAATTTGCCCCACTTCGAACATTATTACTAGCTTGTGTCAAGGCATCTCTCCACGTACTAAAGGAATGGCAAAGTATTTTCCAACGACTGGACATCGATTCTTTGGTTCTTTTCCCACTCATTTGCTCAAGAAATTTGGTATGAATTAAACTCCACATTTCTCGCAACTGCATCTCATTACCCGTAAGGGAATTATGAGTAACTTCAACCCAGCTAGTGCACAACGCAACATCTTCAAAAAGCGACCAATTCGTACCTGCATTAGTAGTCATTTTGTGGAAAAAAAATTGGATTGAAACTTTGAGAGAAAGATAAGAATTTGATTGAAAGTGGTTGAGAAAATATGAAATTGTGGTGTAAGGTAGATGGAGAAGAAGTGGTATTTATAGAAAAGTAAAAACAATTTTTTACAAATTTTTTTTCAGATTTTTTAAAATTTTTTCAGATTTTTTCCATTTAAATTTTTTTTTTTCAAATAATTAATTTCTGTCGTTGGATTTAAAAAAATTTGAATTCCAACACTCCAGATTGTGCCACGTGTCACAACGGTAACTTTTCTTAATTTTAAAACTATTTTTTCTTTATTTATAAAGCATATTAATATCGACCGTTGATCTCAGATCGAACGGTTGATATTAAATAAGATTTTTTTATATTTTTTTTACCGTTGAGATCCAACGGTCCAAATGAAGGAGCCGTTGAGATCGAACGGACCGTGGGAAGCCACGTGGCTTCCTAACGGTAACTGTGACATTCTGAAAAGTCGTCTGCTTTTCTGAAAAGCTGTCGGGCGACGCGCCCCCACGCGCGAGTGGGGTGCACGCGCCTAACAGAAAAAAATAAAAAATGGGCTTGGAGCTCGGGCTCCGGGGCTGTCACAAATTGACAGGCCCC